TCTGTATACATAGAGCTATATATCTATATCTACATACGTATCTAGATCTAGATCTAGATATCTCTCTATATACATTCATCTATCTAATGTATATAGATCTGGATATTTATATATATACATCTCTTTATAGATATCTATATCTATCTATCTGTCCACCTATCTCTATCTAGCTATCTAAATCTAGATCTCTATCTATATAGATCTCTAGATCTCTATCTGTGTATCTATCTGGATCTATGTAGGTATCTATCTATCTAGACCTGGACATCTGTCTATATATCAATACATTGATCTCTCTGTGTCCATCTTTATGTGTGTATATACACATGTACAGACACACATATCTCATCCCCTGCTTGCTTATTGCTGTAAATGTTAGGTAGTCAAGGCGCTATGACAATGATTCCCAAACTGTGGCCCAAGGAACCCTGAAGAATTCCCTGTAACTCTTTCAAGTGTCTTCAAAGTCACAACTACTTTTAAAAAAGAATTCTAAGATGTGATTTTTTTTCCCTTTTTGCTGCCATTTTCTCATGCGTCTATGCTGGGATTTTACAGACACTGCATGGCATGTGATAAGGTAACACAGACAGAGCTAGGACGAACCAGCTGTCACCTCTTGGAAAAATGCATTCCACTCTTTTCACAATGATTTTTCTTTTTAATATAGAAGGTATTTTTAATGAAAAAAATATGAAATTTATGTTACTGCATAATGGTTTGACTTTTTTTGGGGGGGGTGGAGTCTCGCTCTGTCACCAGGCTGGAGTTCAGTGATGCGATCTCAGCTCACTGCAACTCCTGGGTTCAAGTGATTCTCCTGCTTCAGCCTCCTGAGTAGCTGGGACCACAGGCGTGCAACACCATGTCCAGCTAATTTTTGCATTTTTAGTACAGACAGGATTTCACCATGTTGAGCAGGCTGGTCTCGATCTCTTTACCTCGTGATCCACCCGCCTTGGCCTCCCAAAGTGCTTGGATTACAGACATGAGCCACCAAACCCAGCCTGGTTTGATTTTTTTTAAGGGATTGATAAATATGTTTTCTAATTTTTCCGTTTTAATCTCAATTATTGTAAATATGGAGAGATAGAATCCACAGTGACATGGCCGGGCACAGTGGCTCACACCTGTCATTCCAGCCCTTCAGGAGGCTGAGCGGGTGTATCACTTGAGCTCAGGAGTTTGAGACCAGCCTGCACAACATGGCAAAATCCTGTCTCTACCAAAAATAAAAATAAAAAAATTAGCCGAATGTGGTGTCACATGCCGCTAGTCTCAGCTACTCAGGAGGCTCACTTGAGCCTAGGAGGTGGTGTTTGCCATGAGCCGAGATCGTGCCACTGCACTCCAGCCTGGGTGACAGAGTAAGCCTCAGCTCAGGAGAAAAAAAAAGAAAGAATCCACATGGACAAAGCTGTTTGGGTCCCTCAGAGGATCAGGGGTGAGGGGACCAGAAGCTGTGAAATTCACTGCTCCAGAAGATAGGGCTATAAATGAAAATAGAGAATCTGCGAATCACCTTGGGAATGAGTAATTCTACAGTTTGTATTCTCTGCAGAGGACATAGTGTCCCCAAGGAAGAGAAATTGATTCTCGGGAGTGAAAAACTTCTTATTTTTTAATGTATAATCACAGTTGTAACGTACAGAACATAGATATGTCATGTGACTTTTGTATTCATATTTCATGAGGAGGTGATCAAAGAAAAAACAATGTTTCAAAAGGCTCCTGGAGGACGGTGGTGGTGATGAACAACAAAAAAGTTGGCGAGGGGAAAATGTAGAATCCCGAAAGAGAGAAAAAAAGCCAGTTGCTTTGCCGCTTGCTATCCAAGTGTATCTGTAAAAGCTATTCTTTTTTTGTCCCTGTCATTTTAAGGATAGGATGATTTGGGCTGCCATACTTCACGTTTTTAAAAAACTGATTTATTCCTCCCGTTTTGGGAAAAAATCTCAAAGGATTATGATTATGTTTCTTGATAGATAGAAAATAAAATAACTGCAAAAACTGTGATTTAAAAATATATCTGTATGTAAAATGACTGCAGATGAAAGGACTAGTCTGCTGATAGTTGGATTATATACTGACTGCTAGCTTGACAGCCAGGCACGGTATTACTGCTCATATACTGCTTGCTGCATTGATAGTACTAGTATGTTATTCTTGGTTATACATTGATTACTACAGTGATAGTAGTTTGTTATTATTGATCACGTACTGATGACTGAATTAATAGCAGTAGTATGTTACTATTGATTGTATAGTGATTACTATGCCAATAGTAGTATATTATTATTGACTATATATTGATCACTACACTGACAGCAGTTATTATTGATTATATATTCATTACTGCATCGGTAGTAGTAGTCTATTATTATTGATCATATACTGATGACTGCATTGGAAGTAGTAGTGTATTGTTATTGATTACATATTGATTACTGTTGAGAGTAGTAGTCTATTACTGATCATATGTTGATGACTGCATTGGAAGTGTTGTATTATTATTGATTATATATTGATTACTATGCTGATAATAGTAGTATAATCAATCATAACAATCAGTAATGGAAATCCATTGGGACAGGTCCTTTGGAGGCTGTCTTTGAGGGGCTCCATGGTAGTTGGGTGCTTTCTGGGTGTCTTTTATCGCGTCTGAGTGGAAATCAGAATCCCTTCTGTTTCCCTCTCAGATTCGGTTCCAGTGCAAAGGTCGTCCACTTTTTGGGGTCCACAAAGCCTTGGAACTACAAGTACAATCCACAGAGCGGCTCGGTGTTGGAGCAGGGCTCAGCGCCCAGCAGCCAGCACCAGGCGGCGTTCCTTAATCTCTGGTGGACCATCTACCAGAACAACGTGTTGCCCCTTTATCAAAGCGTCCAAGCAGGGGGAGCACTCGCAGCTCCTGGACACACAGTAAGTGGGGAATTCTCTTAAAACCCAGAGCTGAGGGCGAGGAGAACATCCTCGTCACCAAGGTCTGGCGTGGTTTTTTTGAAACACCCCATTTGTGTCTAAATACTGTATTTCATGGAAAAGACTACTGAGAAGCAAGCACCTTTTTAAAAAATTTTTATTTTTTGGCTCGAAATGGAGAATTCCTAATGAGTAGAGATACTGTTTTAATTTATAGGCCTGATGCATAAATAGGTTGTTGAAATTAGCCATCCTCATTAGAGTAAGAAACACCAGTGCATGGGCGAGTGATTCACAATGACTGATTATGATGTCATTTGGGTCAACATTTTCCACTTGAAACCACCATTTGAGATAGCCATTGGAGGAAGTGTCTGAAGAGGATTTTGTAAATTTTTGATTGACACCAATTTGATTTAAGAAAATATAATGATAGCCCCTAGATGTGCTAAATAGCGAAGTATCTGCAGTGTGTTGAATATGGAATGCATCTGCCTTGCATAAAAGCTTTTGCAGTTAGGAGCTTATTTTTTTAAAAGAGTATTTGCACTAGAGTACTAGTACTCTAGAGTACCAGAGTGTTTTTTTTTTTTTTTTTTACTAAAGAAAACTAGAGTTGTTTGTTTGTTTGTTTGTTTGACAGAGCCTTGCTCTGTAGCCCAGGCTGGGGTGCAGTGACACGATCCCGGCTCACCGCAACCTCCACCTCCCAGGTTCAAGCAATTCTCCTGCCTCAGCCTCCCGAGTAGCTGGGATTACAGGTGAATGCCACCATGCCCCGCTAATTTTTGTACTTTTAGTGGAGATGGGGTTTTGCCACATTGGCCAGGCTGGTCTTGAAGCCCTGACCTCAAGTGATCCACCCACCTCAGCCTCCCAAAGTGCTGGGATTGCAGACATGCGCCACCGCGCCCGGCCTTTTTTTTTTTTTTTTCCTGGAATATTTGCTAATACCACAGAGTCTGCTGTCAGCACATGCATTGCTTGGGAAGTTGAAGAGAATTCCTATTTTAATTTTTAGTATGGTTTTTTATTCGGGTGAAGCCAGGGGCTGCTTTTTAAGGACTGCTGAAAATGCCCCTCATCGTCTGACACTAGCCAGTTGGTGTTTGTGTTCACTTCGCCAACATTGACTTGCCACATATTTCCTGCTGGGCATTTTGCTAAGTACTGGATTGCATAGGAGGGAATTTTAAGGCTTAGTGTCAAATGGTTCTGAGAAATAAAACATGAAGGACAATTATTTAATGATTGCAGATGGGAGCAGGGCTCCCCTCCCCCAGGACAGCGGGTGAATTGAGAAGACATCGGAAAGCTCACTGGATGTGTCTGTTTTTGTGCAGCTTTGCCTCAGTGATGTTGGGGCGCCGTGTGCAGATTCAGCATCCGGTGCTGGAGAGCCGTGTGCAAATTCAACACCTACTCCTGGCGTGCCATGTGCAAATTCAGCACCTGGATCTAACCAGCCTGCTCAGGGCCTTCCAGAGCCAACCCATCTCATAGTGGATGAGATCCTGTCTCTGCCTGAAGGACGCCGTTCAGAAGATGTAAGTACCTGCGTTCCACACAGGTGTGATGGAGAGTCAGACGCTGGCTCCAGTGAGAGAGCAGAGAGAACTGGCTTCCCCGGCTCTCTGGGGTGGGGGTGATGGAGGGAAGGGCTGGTCTTTAGTTTGCTGCGGCATTCAAAGCTCCTGCGTTTATCTGCATTATGGCACACCGAATCAAGCTCACCTCCAGAAAGATACCTAAGTCCCAATCTCCAGGACCTGTGAAAGTGACCTTGTGTGGCAAAAGGGAGTTTGCAGTTGTGATTAAATGAGGGACCTCGAGATGGGGCAGGATGATCTTGAATTATGCGGGTGGGCTCTTAGTCATTACAAACCTCCCTTAAAAGAAGAAGGTGGAAGTGTCAACGTCAGAGAAGGAGGCCACGAGCCAGGGAATATGGTGGCCTCCAGAAGCCAGAGAAGGCAGGAGGTGGATTCTCCTCCAGGTCCCCAAGAATGAACCAACTCTGCCAACACCTTGATTTTAGCCCACTGGACTTCTGGTCCCAAGAACTATCAGATGGTCAGTCTGCCTTGGCGTAAGCCACCAGTGTGTGGCCAATTCTCATATAGCAGCCTCAAAACACTGATGCCACATGGAGACACATGCTCACTCTTGAGCCGTTTACAGAGTCTGGGGGCACAGAGCTCTTTCAGGTTCAGTGCTCCTTCGACCCAGCTACCGGGCTGTGCATCCTGAGAGCTTTCAGCCCAACCCCTGACTTGAACATGGGTTCAAGTGACGATGAATTCCTGCCGAGGCTCAATGTTCAAATTAATGTTGACCTGCACGGTGGTGTCTATTGAGGCTGAGTCTGCAGAACTTTGTCTCCACAGAAGAAAAATGAAAAGATCTCTTATTTGCAAAACAAATAATGGAGGCTGTCATTTCTCCAGCTCCACTTTCTGGGCGAATACTTTGGAATTATATCTTGTGTTTAAAGATTTCTTGGGACCACGCATGGTGGCTAACACCTGTAATCTTAACACTTTGGAAGGCTGAGGTGGGAGGATTGTTTGAGACCAGGAGTTTGAGACCAGCTGGCATCACACTGAGACCTCGTCTCTACAAAAATGTCAAAAAACTTAGCCAGGCTTGGATGTGTACACCTGCAGCCCCAGCTACTTGGGAGGCTGAGGCAGGAGAATCGCTTGAGCCCCAGGAGGCTGAGGCTGTAGTGAGCTATGATCTCACCACTGCACTCCAGCCTGGGTGACAGAGCTAGACACTGTCTTAAAGAAAAAAAAGATTTCTTGTTTTACATCTTTACCACTCATCCTACCAAGTTTCTCAACAGAATTATTTTGAGGTCATACTTAGGGAAGGATCTGGGGACGGGGCTGAAGGGAAGTCATTCTACTCTGTATATTTCAGATATAAATATATATATATTTCTTTTCGCGGTGGGCACTTTGGGAGAGCCGTTTCTTGTTGCTTTTAAACAAGCAGCCTTTCCATTTCGCACTCGTTGCTGTGGAAGACTCCATGGGCTTCGCTGCACTGTGCTGTGAATTATGCCGTGGCAACCTTATGCATGAATAATGTCGGAGTGCTGAGTTCACATTCACCCAAACACATTGAAAAGATCTTTAGGTTCAGATGGTGACGACTGGGGAGGTGTAAACTTCATTTTTCCGGTTTTGTGTTCCTTGGGTGTGTCCTGAGCGTGCCATAGCCTGGGTCTGGCCCCAGGACGTGCCTCGTGTGAGTCCAGGCAAGGGCCTCTGCTTGTTGCTGCTGGAATGTGAAGAATCCCGTCGGTTGAGCTCTTACATGATGTGCAAAACGGGCAGTGGAGCTGAGCCATGCTCAGATCAGGATGTCTAAGGAAAACTCGCATTTACATGAAATGTTTAGTAGGCAGCAGAGTTTGAACTGTAAACCAGAGAGTTTGCTGCTCCATTCAAGGCTCATGCTTCTGTTTGCATTACTGCACCTTAATGCAAATAAAGGGGGACTCTGATCCACTGTTGACATGTACTGAAAATAACTGAATGCTCAAACTCCTCGCCTAAAAGAGAAATATTATTGAATGTTTCATAAAAACAAATTTAGGAAGTGTATTTTGCCACGGTTAAGGACACACTGTGACGCAGCCTCAGGAGGTCCTGATGACAGGTGCCCAGGGTGGTCGCGGCACAGCTTGGTTTTATGCATTATAGAGAGACTTGACGTAGCAATATGTGTAAGAAGTACATTGGTTCAGTCCGGAGAGGCAGGACAACTCGAAGTGGGGAGGGGCTTCCAGCTCATAAGTGGATAGAGACAAACGGTTGTATTTGTTTTTTTGAGTATCTGATGACCCTCTCCAAAGGAGGCAATCAGATATACGTTTATCTCAGTGAGCAGAGGGTGACTGAGAGAGCGGGAGGCAGCATTGCCCAAGCAGCTCCCAGCTTCACTTTTCCCTTTGGCTTAGTGATATTGCGGTTTCAAGATTTATTTTGTTTTCACAAGACTCTACTGAGTCCTCAGAAGACAGTTTTCAAACCATCTTTCTGATTTCTGGTTATGTAATTTTAATCTTATTCTGTCAGAGTCTTGAACATTAGTGGTTTTTCAAACTGTGGGCTGAGCTTTGTCTGAATAAGGATTATTTTAAAGAATTGTGTTTTTGCAGATGATCTTAAAAGCATTCTTCTTTTTTTTTTGTTTTGTTTTTTTGAGATGGAGTCTCACTCCATCGCCTAGGTTGGAGTGCAATCATGTGATCTCAGCTCACTGCAACTTCCACCTCCCAAGTCCAAGCAATTCTCCTGCCTCAGCCTCCTGAGTAGGTGGACAGGCGTGAGCTATCACACCTGGTTAATTTTTGTATTTTTAGTAGAGATGGGGTTTCTCCATGTTGGCCAGGCTGTTCTTGAACTCCTGACCTCAAGTGATCCACCCGCCTCAGCCTCCCAAAGTGTTGTGATTACAGGCATGAGCCACCGCACCTGGCCATTAAAAGCATCTTAAAAGTCTGTTCTGAACCATGGTGAGCACTGCCTCATTTGTAATGTCAGCCACCCTCTTTCAGAAGCAAGTGTGTGTTCACCCTTCAGCCCCTCAAGGGATTTACATGGATTGTCACAGCCCCTAAAAACAAGCTTCCCAGGGCAAACAGTGGTTCTCCAGAGACTCCCAAAGGGCAAACAGTCAGGAAGCTCCAGTCCCAGCTGCAGCTCAAGTTGTAGCCTTGCCAATCTCAGAAAAAAACAGACCAATTTAGAGTGAGAGCCCTTGGCACTTTGGCTTCTCCAAAACAGTGCCCAGCATGTTCAGTTCATATTCATCTCCATGGAATTGTTCCAGTGATCTTTTGTTGACGTAAGCCACTTCTACTTTTGCTTTGGATTCATAATTGTGGATGTGGCAGCAACTTAAAGAATAGACGTCTAGCTGCGTGTTGTCTGTCCCTGAGCCACATCTCAACCAGAGCCAGTCAAGCCAAACCAAGGAGAGACTTTCCTGTGGAGTAGTGGGGCTTCTGAAAAAAGCAGGTGCAGAGAATCATGGTGGTAGAATTGAGGATCATCCTGCCTTGATGCCCAAGGAGATGGACAAGAACACAAAAGCACATTCATTTCACCCCAGTTAGGTGCTGTCTGTTGTCAAAAAGACAAAAAAAAAAAATGCTGGTTAAGATGTGGAGAAAGGGGAACTCTTAGCCACTGTTGATGGGGATTAAAAATAAGTACAGCCAGGATGGAGAACAGTATGAAGGTTCCTCAAAAAACTGCAAATAGACCTACGATATGATCCGGCCATTTATCCAAAGGAAAGTAAATTAGTATATTGAAGGGACACCTGTCCCTGTCCATGTTTTTTGCAGTTTATTCACAACAGCCAATATATGGAGCCAACCCAAGTGTCCGTCAAAGGATGAATGGATAAAGAAAAGGCAGTGCATAGATACACCATGGAATACTATTCCACCATAAAAAAGGAAAGGAAATTCATCATTTGCAGCAGGATGCATGGAAATAGAGGACATTATGGTAGGTGAAATAAGCCAGGAACAGAAAGTTAAACATCGCATGTTCATGCTCATCCATGGAAGCTAAAAAAGTTTAATCTCACAGAAGTAAAAAGTAAGGCCAGGCACAGTGGCTCACTCCTGTAATCCCTGCACTTTGGGAGGCTGAGGCAGGATGATTGCTTGAGATCAGGAGTTGAGACTAGCCTGGGCAACATAGCCAAACCCTGCCTCTACAAAAAATACAAAACTTAGCTGGGTGTGGTGGTGCTTGCTGGTGGTCCCAGCTACTCAGAAGCCTGAGGTGGGAGAATTGCTTGAACCTGGGAGGTTGAGGCTGCAGTGAGCCAAGATCACACCACTGGACTCCAGCCTGGGTAGCAGAATGAGACCCTGTCAAAACGAAAACAAAAAAAAGAAGTAAAAAGTAGAAGAGAGTATCCTAGAGACTGGGAAAGGTCGGGGGGGGGGGGGGAAAGGAGAAGATAGAGAGACATTTGTTAAAGGATACAAAATTACACCTAGACAAGAGGAATATGTTGTCATGTTCTATAGCCCTACAGGATGACTGTAGCCAGCAGTAATACATAGTTTCACATAGCTGGAAGGAGGATATTGTATATTCCCAAAAGAAAGAAATGATACATAATTGACATGATGGATATGCAAATTACCCTGAGCAGATCACTGAACATTGTATGTATTGAACCATCCCTATGTATCCCGTGAATGTGTACAACTATTATGTGTCAATTTTTAAAACGTAAAAATTTTTTTAAAAAAGCATGTTCAGCAGCCAGCAGCCTCGAGAAGCCCATCAACTGGTTTCATACACAGTGAGACTGTAGTGCCCTTTGGACATTTTTGACATGGCTCCAAATCCCCACCCCATTCTCAAGGGGCAATATTGCAGAAAGGAGGAGGGTGGAAAAAAAAATCTCAAGAATTGGAGAATCACCAGTTTCCAGGGCCCAGGACAAGACCTAGGAGGAAATGAAGAACACCCTTGCAGATAGAAGCTGTCTCTGTCTGGGTGGT